TGCTTGTGTTCCCTCTCTCGCTGTGTCTCTGTCAAATAAATAAATAAAAATCTTAAAAAAAAAAAAAAAAGAAAGAAAACCTTTCCTGGACCCCACAGTCCTCTCCACCTCCTGCCAATTCTCTCCCCTCCCACTCGAACTTCATGAAAACATTGTAATAGCATTTCTAGTTCCCCAACTCCAGTTCACTTGTCAATGCAAGCTAACTTCCACAACTGGTACCACCCCACCTACACAAGACACTACTTTCATAAGGTCACCAATGACCTCCATGTTGCTAAAGCTAAAGAATGTTAGGTTCTTATCTTTTGGGATCTCTCAGCAGCACACACTTATAACTCCAATATGGCTGACCACTCTTTTCTTCCTGAAACACTCTCCTTTTGACTTTTTGAAATTTTCTATGCTGGTTTTCTCCTACCATTTTGGCCGCCTTTTTTCCAACCTCATTAGCCATCTCTTTTACCCTTTACCCAGTTTTTTTTTTTTAATAAAGATTTATTTATTTGTGAAAGAGAGAGAGTGCACACACACTCTAGCAAGGGGAGGGGCAGAGGGAGAGAGAGAATCTAAGCAGACTCCCTGCTGAGCATGGGGTCTCACTTGGGGCTCAATCCCAGGACCCTGACATCATGATCTGGGCTGAAATCAAAAGTCGGACACTTAACCCACAGAGCTACCCAGGCACCCCACCCTCCCCACCCTCTACCGTTTTTATTTTTTTTATTTTTATTTTTTATTTTTTTTAAAGATTTTATTTATTTGACAGAGAGAGACACAGCGAGAGAGGGAACACAAGCAGGGGGAGTGGGGGAGGGAGAAGCAGGCGTCCCGCGGAGCAGGGAGCCCGATGCGGGGCTCAATTCCAGGACCCCGGGATCATGACCTGAGCCAAAGGCAGACGCTTAACGACTGAGCCACCCAGGTGCCCCTCCTCTACCGTTTTTAAATGTCAGAGTTCTGGGCGCCTGGGTGGCTCAATGGTTAAGCAACTGCCTTCGGCTCAGGTCATGATCCCAGGGTCCTGGGATCGAGTCCCACATCGGGCTCCCGGCTCAGCAGGAAGCCTGCTTCTCCCTCTCCCACTCCCCCTGCTTGTGTTCCTGCTCTCGCTGTCTCTGTCTCTGTCAAATAAATAAATAAAATCTTTAAATAAATAAATAAATAAATAAATAAATGTCAGAGTTCCTAAGGGCCTGATCCTTGGGCCTCTTCTCTACTTGTTCTCACATGATCTCATTCATTGCCATGACTTCAAAAAAATCAACAATATGATGGCTTCCAAATTTACACTTTCACCCCAGACTTATGTCTGAATTCAAGATCAGTATATCCGGGGCGCCTGGTGGCTCAGTCGTTAGGCGTCTGCCTTCGGCTTGGGTCATGATCCCAGGGTCCTGGGATCGAGCCCCACATTGGGCTCCCTGCTCAGCGGGAAGCCTGCTTCTCCCTCTCCCACTCCTCCTGCTTGTGTTCCTTCTCTCGCTGTGTCTCTCTCTGTCAAATACATAAATAAAATCTTTTTAAAAAAAGATCAGTATATCCAGTGGGCTACTTAATATATTCTCCCCACAGGCACTCCAATTCAACATGTTCAAAGCCAGACTCAAAATCTTTCCCTTCAAACTGTTCCATTTAAGGCAGTACATTCAAAATAATTATATAGATATTTATCTCTTCATTGTAGTAGAAACATATTCACCATGGATTAAGTAATAAGAAAAAAAAGATTATAAAACATTATATATCGGGGTGCCTGTGTGGCACAGCCAGTTAAGTGTCCGACTCTTGGTTTTGGCTCAGGTTGTGATCTCAGGGCCATGGGATCAAGCCCTGCATAGGGCTCAGCTCAGCACTAGTCAGCTTGCAATTCTCTCCCTCTCCTTCTCCTCTGCCCCACCCACTTGAGTTTACTCTCTCTCTCTCTCTAAAATAAAGCTTAAAAAAAAATACAGTATGTATCATTTGTTCCCATTACTGCAAAACAAACAAAAATATCCACCTCTCTATCTACCTACTTACCTACTATCTATCTATCTATGGAGAGAGAAATATAAATGCCTAAAAAAAGACCTGTTAGGATATACAACAAAATGTTAAACAATAATCTCTGGATGGTATGATTACAGGTGATTTTTAACTTTCTTTTTTTTTTTTAATTCTTATGTTAATCCCCATTACAGGTGATTTTTAATTTCTGTCTTCTTCAGTTTCTTCTTGTGTGTATGTATGTGAGTGTTTATTTCCCATATTCTTTAAAATGAATGTTTTTCACTTTTATAATCAGATATTCATAGTTTTGTTTTGTTTTGTTTTTAATCTCTTAATAGGATGCCATATGAAGTCAGGCTATCAGTTAGAAAACTTTCTTGTTTAAATGATTTAATTTAAGTCTACTCAAAACTTTCAGATCTAACTTCCAGGTTATAGGAAGGAGATAGGAGAACATGTTCTGCAACACCACTAGGAAATAATCAGACAAATCAACAAGGGAGGACATTCTATAAGACAAATGGTCTGACCTAATCAAAAAGTCACTGTTATAGGAAAAAACAAGTGGAACTAGATTAAAGGTGACATAATAGTGAAATACAAAGTGTGAAACTTCACTGGGTTTGGGTTATAAACAACACCCACAAAAGACACTTTGGGGATAATTACAGAAATGGATAGAGTATGAGATGATATGGAAGCATTACTATTAATTTTCTTGAGTGAGATCATGGTATTGTGGTTCTTTAACAGAATGTAGAGAAAGTCCTTATTTCTAAAAATGCATACTGAGGTATTTAAAGGTGGGTATCATGATGCCCAATAGAGAAAGCAAAATGTCAACAACAGTTGAATCTAAATGGTGGGTGTTCATCACTAGTGTTCTTGGGGAAAACATTCTTTTAAGACTATAAGCTTCCGGGGCGCCTGGGTGGCTCAGTCGTTAAGCGTCTGCCTTCGGCTCAGGTCATGATCCCAGGGTCCTGGGATCTAGCCCTGCATCGGGCTCCCCACTCCGCGGGAAGCCTGCTTCTCCCTCTCCCACTCCCCCTGCTTGTGTTCCTTCTCTCGCTGTGTCTCTCTCTGTCAAAAAATAAATAAAATCTTTAAAAAAAAAAAAAAAAAAGACTAAAGCTTCCAAAAGGCAAGGACTGTATCCTCTCAATATCGTATCCCCAGCACCTAAAACACATCCTCGTATAATAAATGTTTGTTGGAAGAATGAATAAGTAAAAAACCCATATTTTGAGATGCTGGACTTTGGGGCAGGTAGAAATGGTGATGCTCTACATATTGTTGCCACCTTCTGAAAAAATTAACAGATGTAAAACCTCTTCTGTACTGCCTGGCATCATGAGGCACTAGGTAATTGTTAGTTTCCTTCTTTTTTGTTTTTTTGTTTTTATTATGTTACGTTAGTCACCATACAGTACATCATTAGTTTTTTGTTTTTTGTCTTTTTAAAGATTTTGTTTATTTATTTGACAGAGAGAAACACAGCAAGAGAGGGAACACAAGCAGGGGGAGTGGGAGAGGGAGAAGCAGGCTTCCCGCAGAGCAGGGAGCCCGATGCGGGGCTCGATCCCAGGACCCCGGGATCATGACCTGAGCCGAAGGCAGACGCTTAATGACTGAGCCACCCAGGCGCCCCACATCATTAGTTTTTGATGTAGTGTTCCATGATTGTTTGCATATAACATCCAGTGCTCCATGCAATACGTGCCCTCCCTCATTGCCATCACCAGGCTAACCCATCCCCCCACCCCATTAGTTTCCTTCTTGTTTCCCATTCCTTTCCCTTTGAAACTGTTTTTTTTTTAAGATTTTATTTATTTATTTTAGAGAGAGAAAGAGAGCGAAAGTACGAGTGGGGAGGAGGGGCAAAGGGAGAGGAAGAAGCAGACTCCCTGCTGAGCAAGGAGCCCCATGTGGGACTCGATCGCAGGACCCCAAGATCATGACCTGACCTGATCAAGACGCTTAACAACTGAGTCACCCAGGCACCCTTCCTCTGATACTCTTTAGGCAAATGACAGATGTCATTAAAATCAAACAACTAGGGGTGCTTCAGTGGCTCAGTCGGTTAAGCGTCTGCCTTCGGCTCAGGTCATGATCCCAGGGTCCTGGGATCGAGCCCCGCATTGGGCTCCCCGCTTGGCGGGAAGCCTGCTTCTCCCTCTCCTGCTCCCCCTGCTTGTGCTCCCTCTCTCTCTGTCAAATAAATAAATAAAATCTTAAAAAAAAAAAATCAAACAACTATTTCGAAATTTCTCACGAAACAGACAAAGCAGAAAGGGCAAGTAACTGGGTTGAAACAGACTGAAATTCATGGAGTTAATCAGATTGAATGGATATTCATTTTGGACAAAATACTACATGAAAAGCCCTTGCCTAGTAGATGATGGGCATAAAAGAGAGGTCTGAAATAGTAGCGATTATAACTATAATAACTAACTTAATGTCTTTTATCTCAATGAATCTTTATTTTTTTTTAAAGATTTTATTTATTTATTTGAGAGAAAGAATGAGAGACAGAGAGAGCACATGAGAGGGGGGAGGGCCAGAGGGAGAAGCAGACTCCCCACTGAGCACAGGGAGCCTGATACAGGACTTGATCCTGGGACTCCAGGATCATGACCTGAGCCAAAGGCAGTCGCCTAACCAACTGAGCCACCCAGGCACCCATACCTCACTGAATCTTTAAATTCACTGTAGTTTGTACTATAATTATCCTCATTGTTTTAAGTGAGGAAAGCAAGGTATGGAGAGGTAGCCAAAGGTCACAGAGTTAAGTATGTGGGAGAGCTGGGAACCAAACTTACTAAAAGAGCTCTTGCTCTTAACCACCACTTTATATTCCTGCCCTTGTCCTATTCCATGTGAAAGGTGGAATGTGGTCCCAGCCACTCTTCTCAGAGACATGTTAGGAATCTTTCTAGACAAAATTATTACAGAGTGTTAGAGGGTCACTTAAAGCAAGCAGACCATATCAGGAAATAACCACATACCTGCAGAACAGATGGGATTTTCTCTTGAAGTGCTGACCCTAAAAAGAAGAGTATGTTGAATAAAATTAGAAACCCCTTATTTAATCTACACAGTTACCAAAACTTGTATGCTTCTCATTAAGGTGAAGTCAATGCTAGATATTTCTTTATTCCTTCCTTCCCCTCTTTCCATAAACGTTATTAAATGCCTATTATGTGCCAGACATCCTGAGGATGCAAAAATAAGTAAAATGTCTGTATTTATGGTCAATTTAGGAGAGAGATATGTAAATATATGTGATCTATAATCTAGTGCTGATCCAGAACAAAAACTTGTACAAGATTTGGTAGAACACAAAGTAAAGTGTGGTCATTTCCACTGGGGGAGTAAAACCATTTGACCTGAGTTTTAAAAATGCAGAACTATTCTCGATTATTTAGCCTTAAGGAAAAGCATTCTAGGCAGAGGTATGAAAGTGGTATGTTCGGGGAACAGCAACCAGCTGGATATGAGTGTAACTGAAGCAGCAGGGAAAAGGGAGGTTAGTGAAAGAGGTAATCAAGGGCCAGGTTATAAGAACCTCATACGCTGTGCTAAGGAGTTTGGTATTTACTCTGTATAGGCACTGGGAAGCTCCTAGCAGATTTTAAGCATAGGAGTGCTATGATCAAGTTTAGGTTTTAGGAAGTTAACCCTGGCAGCAGGTGAGCAATGAATGGGAAGAGGTGAGACTGAGGCAAGAGAACCAGTGAGGTGGTTCTTGCAGAAGCTTACAAGGAGGGTAGAGAGGAAGGAACAGCAATGAGAGCCAGACTGAATACAGAAGTCAAAGAATATGGAGGAGAATAATACAGCACTGTTTGGCTCATTAGGTTATCAGAGTATTTTAGTTCAGCATCCTGCAGAAGTTTTGAAACTAAATTGTGGCACAACTTGGAGACAAGCAGATCTGTGATTAAATGCTGACTGTACCATTTCCAAACTGTGACCTTTGGTAAGTTCTTTTATATCTCTGTAACTCAGTTATCTCATCTTTAAAATGCAGATAATAATAGTATAATCTCTTGGGACTGAATCTATCTTAAACTCTCTGAGCCAGTTTCCTCTTTTGTAAAATGATGTTACCTATATTTGTCCTGTATATTTTTGTAAAAATTAGAGAGAACATGTAAAATGGTTCTATAATAAGTAAGCGTGGTGCTATAGTAAGTACTTATTGAATAATTGACTGATCAATGATGGGGAAAATAGATTACGATGTAAAGGAATAGTAGGAGAGAGGCTTCAATAAATGTAAAGGATTAAAGAAATCATGCAGACTCATGGGTGCCATGCAGTCCAGGGAGATATACAATTCATTGTTTTATATCACATGGCTACTACATGTAAGACACTCAGTGATTATCTGCTGAATCGAGAAATAAACTACCAAATGCCTTTCCTTACCATTGAGAGTAAAACAGTGGGGAGTCGCAAACTGTATGTGCAAGGCAATGGAAAAAAAACTTGGGTTTGAATTCTAATTCCAACTCACATTAGCTATGTCATCTTAGCACAATTAATTTACCTCTCTGGACCTCAGTTATTTATGTATAAAATTAAGATAATATGACCCGTTTCAGCAGGTCACTGTGAGAATCTATTCACTCATTAAACAAATATTTACTAAATGCCTACTACGTGCCAGGCAGCATTCTAGGCTCTAAGGATACAGCAGTAAACTAGACTAACAAAATCCTTAGCTGCATGATGCTTATATTCTAGGGGGCAGGTAGGGAAGACAATTTAAATAACTTTACATATACATCTTTACAGAATGTCTCAGGTGGTGATACCTGCAACAAAGAAAAATAAAGTAAGGGAAGGGAATAAAAATTGATGGGGGGAGGGGGCACTATTTTACATAGGGTAGTCGGGGAAGATCTCTCTGATGAGATGACATCTGGGCACAAACCTGAATGAAGTAAGGGGGGGGGTCAAGCCATATGGATACCATTTTTTTTTATTTTGTTTAAAGATTTTTTTTTTTTTAAGATTTTATTTATTTATTTGACAGAGAGAGAGAGAGAGACAGCTAGAGAGGGAACACAAGCAGGGGGAGTGGGAGGGAGAAGCAGGCTTCCCGCCAAGCAGGGAGCCCGATGCAGGGCTCGATCCCAGGACCCTGGAATCATGACCTGAGCCGAAGGCAGACGCTTAACGACTGAGCCACCCAGGCGCCCCAGAAGATTTATTTATTTGAGAGAGAGAGAGAGCGTGTGTGTGCGCGAGCGAGCACATGGGGGCAGGAGCAGAGAGGAGACTCCGTGCTGAGCATGGAACCCTGAGCATGGAACCAGACATGGGGCTCAATCTCATGACCCTGAGATCATGACCTGAGCCAAAATCAAGAGTCTGACATTCAACTGACTGAGCCACCCAGATGCCCCTAAATTTTAAGTAGGCTCCACACCCAACACAGGCCTTGAACTCATGACTCCAAAATTAAGAGTTGCATGCTCTACTGACTGAGCCAGACAGGCACCCTGAGCCATATGGATATCTAAGGGAAGAATGGGCAAAGATCCTGGGGTAGGAGAGTCCTCAAGGACTAGAAAGGGAGCCAGTGTACTAAAGCTGAGTAAGTAGTAGTACACAGATGAGGGAACAGATTGTGTAAAGCCTTGTAGGATATGGTAAGGAGTGTAGATTTTATTTATTTTTTTATTAGTTTCAGAAGTAGAATTTAGTGATTCATCAGTTGCATATAACACTCAGTGCTCATTACATCACATGCTCTCCTTAATGCTCATCACCCAATTATCCCATCCCCCCTCCCCTCCAGTAACCTTCAGTTTCTTTCCTAGAGTTAGCATCTCTTATGGTTTGCCTCTCTCTCAATTTTCATCTTATTTTATTTTCCTTTCTATAGATTTTATGTTGAGTAAGATGGGAGACCATTGGAGAGTTCTGAGAGAGAAATGACATAAACTAATTTGATTATTTTTTTTAACTTGATTATTTTAAAAATAATCATTCCAGGGGTGCCTGGGTGGCTCAGTCGGTTAAATGTCTGCTTTTGGCTCAGGTTGTGACCCCAGGGTCCTGGGATTGAGCCCCGCGTTGGGCTCCCTGCTCAGCGGGGAGTCTGCTTCTTCCTCTCCTTCTGCCCCTCCCCTGCTTGTGCTCACACACTCTCTCTCTCTTGCTCTCAAGTTAATAAATAAAATCTTTTAAAAGAGATTTTAAAAATAAAAAATAAAAAGAATCACTCTGATTTTAGTGTGAAGGACAGAAGAGAAAAGTAAAAGCAGTGGCATCAGTTAGGAGGCAGAATGATGATAGTAAAGATTAGAAGGAGTTTAGCAAAACAGAAAGCATGAGACCTGACACTGGAGCTGAGAAATGGTTTGATTCTGTATATATTTCAAAAGTAGAGCTGAGAGGATTCGTTAAAGAATTGGATGTAGAGGGACAGAAATAACAGTGTTAAGAATGACTCCAAGGACTTTGGCCTGGGCAACTAGATGAATGGAGTTGTCATTTACTGAGAATGGGGAAAGAGCAAGATGGCGGGGGAGTTAATGTTTGAAATGCTTAATAGACATGCAAGTGGAGATGATGAAAGAAAAATGCTGGGTGAACTACCTAGCAGAATGCAAATATTAGCTATATTTAACCACTGTTATTAATATCCTTACCTTAAGAGAGAAAAGGCTGGCTTAAAAATGGTATCGTTCCTCAGACACAGCATCTACAGCAAAATAGCCATGTTAGGACAATTTTAATTATTCATAGCCTTCCAAGCACTTCTTCAAAAAAAGGCTAGAAACCCAAAGTACACAAACCAAAAAGGACCCAAAGCCTCTTGTCTAGCAAAGAAGCTATCCTTCAGTTAATACTGAATATGTAGGCAAACCAAGGTCATCTTTGCTCTTACTCCACCCACTACAGAAAATGCTAAAAAACAGAAGTCCCCCTTCCATGCTGCCTTTTTGTTGTTGTTTTTTACCTTATTTTCCTTTTCCAACGTGATCTATTTTTTTCTACTACCAATTAACAATTATGCATCTGCCAAGCACAGGCACCATGCAAGGGACTTTACTCTTTCCTAATTCTCAAACACTGCAAGACAATTTTACAGGTAAGACAACTGAGGCCCACAGAGTTTATATTCCGAGAAATTATAGCTAAGAAGCGGCTAAGGGGACTGTTTTACTCCAAAAGCTATGCCTCTGTTACAGGACACTGTCTCAATAATAATAATGACACCAATATCAACAAAACAGTAATAATGAGAGGAGGCAGTAGCAGGGGCAGCTTCCCTCCCTAAGTTCCCCCCAATCCCACTCTTTCAAATTCACTCCATCCTGCTGCACTCGAAACATCAGTGGTATAGCTTTCCTATGGGAGTGTTTAATATAGAGGTCTTTTTATAAAGCAACTAGATAATAAACACTAAATGTCCTAAGGCTCCATGACATGAAGAGAAAATCCTGTCCTCTAAGGGTAACAATTTAGATCCCTTCAACATGTATCTGTTAAAATCCTATTACACAAAAACAAAAGAAGGTCTGAGAAACTGTCACAGACAAGAGAAGCCTAAGGAGACATGATGACTAAATGTAATATAATATCCTGGATGGAATCCTGGAACAGAAAAATGACATTAGATTTTAAAAAATGAGAGAAATATGAATAAAGTATGGGCTTTAATTAATAATAATATATCAATATCAGTTCATTAATTATGAAAAGTCTACCATACTAATGTAAGATAGCAATAGGGAAAACTAGATGTGAGGTAGATGGGAATTCTCTGTACTATTTTTGCAACTTATCTGTAATTCTAAAACTATTCTAGGGATGCCTGGGTGGCTCAGTTAGCCTCTCCTTCAGCTCAGGTTATGATCCCAGGGTCCTAGGATCGAGTCCTGCATTGGGCTCACTGTTCCGAGGAGAGCCTGCTTCTCCCTCTGCCTGCCGCTCCCCCTGCTTGTGTGTGTGCGTTCTCTGTCTCTCTGACAAATAAATAAAGTCTTTTAATAAATAAATAAATAAACAAATAATCTATTCTAAAATAAATTTTATTTTTAAAAAGGCTAGTATATGCCAACTGCTCTGTTGAATATTAAAGGAAATATAAAAACAAAATGTAACAACAAAGACAAACTTTGAAAATACTATGCTAAGTGAAAGAAACCAGTTACCAAGAGCCAAATATTGTATGACTCCATTTATATGAAATACCCATAACAGGCAAATCTATAGAGAAAGTAGATTAGTGGCTGCCTAGAGCTGTAGAGTCTGAGCTGGTGGGGATGACAACTAAGGGAGTTGGCTTGAGATTCTCTCTTTCCTTGTCCCTCTGCCCCTCCCCCCCCACATGCTCACTTGCTCTCTCTCTTCCTCTCTCTCTAAAATAAATAAATAAATCTTTTAAAATATCTATATTCTGTTCACTCATCTCTAGTCTGTTTGTCATGCTTGATAGATCTCGGGCCTGGAGGAACCTTAGACTCATCTGCTCTAACTCCAGAGAAGAGAAGTACTGGCCAAGGTATGCTGGTTAGAGGCTGGAACTCCTGTCTCCCGGGGCTCCTTGTTGCTTTTCCCGCCTTCTATGCTGGCCAATATTAGGTTAAACATATTGCACACATAATTACAAAGTCTTTTAGTATTTGATTTAATTGCAGTTTTTAGGATTGCCTATGCATTTTGCCCTTCCTTCCATCTACTCATATCCTTTCCAATCTTCGTGACCTCACATTCTCTGGGAGACTTTTCCTAAATTTGCTCAAACTGTTCCCTTCCCCTGCTCCAATTTTTTTTTTAAAAGATTTATTTATTTATCTGAAATAGAGCATGCACGCAAGTGGGAGGCAGGGCATAGGGAGAGGGTCTGAGCCAAAACCAAGAGTCAGATGCTTAACCAACTCCACCATCCGGGCACCCCCAGAATATATTCTTAAGTGGGTCACTTCATACAGAAGAGGAATTGAATGGGAAGAAAGATCTAGATGACACTGATTTTTTCCTCACTTTAATCACTCAGATCTCTGAGTCTCTACAAAAGCAAAGGATTTAATTACCTAAAAGCCAGGCTTAAGGGTTGACAACTTTCTGGAAGACATTCAAATTGTGGTGTGAACTCTCCCTTTCAGCTCTGGGAAATGTGCTTCCTCTTCCCTGCAATGCTCGGCATTATTTATCAGAACAAAAGTAATCTATTTTGGGACTATATCCACAAATACCCGCTCCTCCCAGTCAGCAAATGAAGAGCGGCTATAGCCCTGCAGCAAATAGAAGAGGAGGATGGTGATGCTAGTGAATGAATGAATGGGGACACAGCTGCCGCAGTGGGTTACAAAAATACTTGTGCCATGAGCTCAGGAGCCAAGAACAGGGGGACTGCACAGCTACCAAAGACTGAAGTCATGGGGCCAAATCTATACTGTCTGACTAGCTTCACACACCTGAGCCCCAGGTGAGTGGAGACAGTAGTGAGTCAGGGACCCATGAGGCAGGCAACTGAAAGCTGTTTTATAAGTATTAACAGAGTACATTTGTGTATTAACAAATATTTAAAATAGCAGTTACTATCGCTTATTGAGTATATCCTTTGTGCTCATCACTTTACACACACTATTTCAGTTCATCTTTACACTAATCCTCTGATAGAAGCATAATTGAGATAATTCCCTCTAATTTATAGAGGAAAAAACAGAGGCTTAGGAAAATTCCCCAGTTATAGGTTTGATAAGAGGTGCCAAGAATTCAAACCCAAGGCTGATTGAATCCAAAGCCCATGTGTTCCATTCTACCTCACTACCTCTCCAAAGAGTAATACCAATTAGTGAAATTCATATGCTAATAATAATATCAATAATCCTACCATTTGTTGAGTACCGGCTATCTGCCAAACGTTTCCTTTATTTTTTTTATTTATTTTTAAAAATATTTTTTTTATTTATTTGACAGAGAGAGAGAGCACAAGGAGGGGGTGGGCAGGCAGAGGGAGAGAGAAAACCCGATGCGGGACTCGATCCCAGGACCCTGGGATCATTACCTGAGCTGAAGGCAGACGCTTAACCAACTGAGCCACCCAGGCACCCAAACATCATTTCCTTTAATCCTCACAACCATTCTGTGAGGTAGGTTTTTCTACCCCCATTTTACTGTGGGGAAACCAAAGCTCGGAAAGGTGAATTAATGTGCCTAAAGCACACAGCTGGCTAGTGGTGTTCTAGCTGACCTTTTCCTAAGTTCTTTCAAGATTGCTTTTGTTTATAGTTTTCCCTTTGGCCAAGTCTCTTCTTAATATGTTTAATAGGTTGACTGTCAGAGTCTGTCTTTGCACTGAGTCTTTATGGAACTTAGACCTGGGTTTGAATGTCAAAACTTCCATTTTAATAGTTGTATGATCTTTGGCAAATCCCATAAGGAATACTTGGCCTCACATATGTATGATCTAATTTACATAAGATGACCAGAACTGGGACGAGCAAAAACCACTGAATTGTCCATCTTAAAAGGGTAAATATTATGGTATGTGAGTTATATCTCAATTTTTTAAAAAAGAAAGAAAAGAAAGAAATATCTGGCCTTCTAGCATAACTGCTGGATTGTATTTCTAGGCCACAGTTGAGTTTTGTTAAGTCCTATATCCTACTTTCCTCCAGGGCTAAATTGTTTAGAAATACCTGTGGTTACCTAAAATGTTAAGTCCAATCCCCTACCTTCTCCCCAAGTCTCATCCCCATATTTCTCTGCATACTCTCCCTTGATCTAAGCCCCACTGCTTCTCTCCCTCCCAATTTCTTCTGGGACCTCTGGAACTTCAAATATGTTCTCATTTCGGGGCCTCTGCACATACTCTCTCTTTTTAAATTCTATCATTCTTTACGTTTTAGTCATGTAGCATCCTCAAGAAAACTTCCCTTACTGCTCAGACTTACTTGGATCCTGCTGTTACACACTCACATGGCACCCAGATTATTTCTTTTGTGGCACTTATCACAATTAGTTAAGTAGTTATATGTTTAATTAGCCTGTCTCTTTTGCTAAGAATACAAGCTCCATAAAGACAGGAAACTGCTACATCCCAACATCTACCATACTCTCTGGCACACTGTGGGTGGTCAGTAAATATCCCCTGATTGAATTAATAAATCCCTCCAAACCTCACTTCCTTAGCTTTATTTTTTTTAAGATCTATTTATTTACTCTGGGTTGGGCAAAGAGAGAAGAGAGACAGAATCCCAAGCAGACTCCCCCACTGAGCGTAGAGCCTGACGAGGGGCTCAATCCTACAACCCCTAGATCATGACCAGAGCCAAAGCCAAGAGTCAGACACGCAACCATCTGAGGCACCCAGGTGCCGCTCCTTATCTTTAAAGAGGTTACAAAAATATATACCTCATAGAATTCTTGATACAATTATATGTTAATGTATGAAAAGGACTTAGCAAGTGCAAGGCACATCATTAATGATCAAATTGGTAGCAGTGATGATAATGGTGGTGATCGTTCAGCTCATTTATTAAACAATATGTACCCTTGTGTGACAGGTGTTGAAGGTAAAACCATAAACAAAATAGTAAAATATCCCTGTCCTGCAGAATTTACATCTAATAGTGACCAGGATATAGCCAACTTCTTGACCACTTTCCTGGGCTCCTGGACTCCCTGACCTTCTATGCATCCTGAAATTTGTGTCCTCCTATTTCACATCTTATGTCCTCCTAATTCATG